ACTTAATCAACATTTATCATGTTGTGTCCACCATTTGTTCCGGAAATCCTCCGTACAACTACAAATGAAAAGTTATGTACACAAGCTGGTGGAGCCTCTCAGCCAAGAGCTGCACATATTTGACAAAGGACTTTAAAGCTAACAGCTGCTGATTAATCACGATGGGAGCAAATTACTGGCTGCCTCTCAACCGGGTATGGAGCTGGATGCCCAGTGCACTGAGATCCTCTTTTGCATGTACTTGACAGCTGCATAGACTAAGTGCCACTTCTGCCTGTTTAGCTGCGTCTTCCTACTACTTCCGCAGTGGGCCAAAGATAGATTTTTTAACACAGTGTATATTAAAAAGCTATCAGATATTGGATTTCAATTAATATGGAGAGTTGGATATCAAGAAAACGGAACTGCTATGGTGCTAGAGGAATTATACTGACAGGTATTTTATGTTACCAACATTGCAGATGGCCAATAATTGACAAAAAGGTAACTTAAAATCTACTTTATAACTCTAGTAAAACTTATCGGATGATGTACCCTCAGCCAAGTGCGACGTTTTTTTAAAAATTTTATTAGCCCTGCAGTATCTACAACATACAGTACACAAATGGTCTTTTGTTGTACAGTTATGCAGACAAACTAAAATCACGATTAAGCTCAAAATCCTGCCAAAATTTAAGCATATGCTTATCGTGACTTTACAGTAGCAGTCCTCCATGCCACATAAAATAAAGGTTGGATGAAGAAGAAGTATCAGACTGCTAGTAAGCTAGTTATAGCAGCCCTCAGACCCGGATCAGGTCCTTTAAAGCGAATATTCAATTTTTTTGTGATTCCAAAGTCAATGTTGAGGCTTGAGCTTCTTCAAGTTACTTATCAACCTGACATTTTCATTCAGTTCTGTAACTTACGATCTACCAACAGCAGCGTACACGAAATGAAGAAACCGAAACCCATGACAAAAAGAAATATCAAAATAAAAGCATGACAAACAATTATTTAGTGAGATAGTGTCCTCTCCAAAAAAGTTTAAGTCACAGGGCTGATTATAAACCAGCTTTTATTGGCTTTTAGTACATCGTAGTGTTAATTTGTTTTTTATCATCTTAGCACTTGCCGTGAGCCTCCTTATTTATACACTTATTTATTCTTTTGCATTACTGTATTTCTGCTTGCTTTATCTTGTTCTTTGATTGTTTTATTTGTTTTTATGTGTCATTGTACAGCACTTTGGCTACCCTTGTGGTTCTTTTAAATGTGCTATAGAAATAAAGTTGATTTAATGATTGATTGATAAATGTTGAATATTATTTGAAATGGAAGATAACATGTAAGATAACTGAAATTATTCATTAATTCAATGTAGGCGTATGTTGCTCTGTTTGCCTTTCCTTGGTTAAATTGATTCGGTTGTTTCATTTTCAAGTTTTCCATAAAAATATCAACAACAATAATACAATTACGATGTTTAATGGCCAAGATAATCATGATGGGGTTGGTGTGAGACAAAGTGATCAACAGCATATAGTCCAAAAAGTATCTCCTAGTCAGGACTACAGTGGAAAGGTTACTTCTTTGGTGCTTTTTTCCTACTGCTAAAAGAAAGAAAAGTTTCTCTCCCATGTCACCCTCACAGCTCACTTATAAATCAAAAGTAACAAAGCAGAAATTCTTAATTGTCAGCAGTCTTGTAATCATTTTGTATGGTAACCAGGAGTTAAAGCACCCAAAACTGAGTCTGATGTGACACGTTCTGTTACAAACAGGTCTGAAAGGCGCTGACAACTGTTGAAACCATGAACCTGCACATACATTCTCTGTATCCTGGCAGCTTTTGAACCAAAACCCCAAACCGCACAGACAACCTTTTGTGTTTTTTTTTTCTTTTCTTTTTGAAACTCCTCCAGGTCTGATTTTGACATTGAGTAAGTGATTTCTCATCAAGTGGGTTCCCGTACTATCAGCTCCACTGCACCATTTTTTTCCCTCTGCTCTCTCCTTCTTACAGCTCACTGGTCCGTGAGGTTGAGTTCCAACAGCTCTCACCAGACCCTCATAGAAACCATGGCCATTTCCATTACATGAATAGGTCAAATGTTTGTTACCTACTCAGTCCAAAATGATGAGGGCAAGAGTGCCATTGACTTTTCAAGAAAGCTGAACAAGTACCGATCCAATCAGAGGTCTACTTGCCCCCTGGTGGCCGAAAAAAAAAAAAGGATTAATAAAGCTTGAAAAGCATTTCATGGAGTGTGGTGGAGGTACTTGTTTGAGAATACACTTCTCCACTGTAGTTAAAGTATATCAGACATAAATAAGAGATGTAATGCTTTTAATTCATTTCTGATTTGTCTGATTTACTCAAGCACTCTTTATTAACACTTCATGGGAACCCACCTGCAATGAAAATAAATATCAAATACATCATATCTAAGTATTATACATGTTTTATATATCAATGGCATGCAAGCAGACACCTAAATAGAAACAGAAATAACCCTTAAGTACATACCCCCTCTATGTGACACCCATGAGTTCCTGGTCTACTTTACAAAAGGCACAGCAATTATAAACACTTCCAAGAAAAGAGCATTCTTCTAAGGTAATTGCTTTCCTTTACTTAATCATGGAACTGTCTAGAATCTACAAACAACAACAACAACACGAACAACTAATCTGGTGATTACTCCTTTGAGTAGGGAACCATTTCTTTGAGTGCTGCAGGTGGAAAAGTGCCATGTAAATAGCACTGTCGGCATAATTGATTATACCGTCCTCATCTTACAGTGTGAAGATATGGTAAAATTGATGTACAGAAATGTAGCGGAGCAAAATGGTACCTCTTTGTAAAGGGGACCCATTCTTGTTTAGATCTAAGGCTTGTTCCGACAAGAACATAAACACCATCTACACTCACAGAAATATAAAGGCCTAATTGCATATAAAATTCCCATCCATTTGAATTACTAAGATTTAATATAAACAGGCCAATAAACTTTGTGTGCAGCATATTTGACTGTCAAATGTAAATAAAACAAGAATTAGATTTATGTAATAATACTAATAAACCCAATGTGTTTTTAATAAATAATGAAGATTTATGTATTCATCATTGATAAATCAATTTTGTGTCTGTATCATAAATTTTAGCCAAAAGAATCTTGGTAAATCCAAAGCTTGTCATATTTAAACTATATTCAGTTGTTTTAACTGATTAAACTGAATTGTTACTCTGATTTTAAAGAATTTGAATAAATAGATTCTCAAAAATGTAATAATTTAAATGCAATTAAATGGATGTAAATACTTAAAAACAAACTATGCTATGATTTATTTGTCTGAGTGTATTCTGAAGTTGCTTTTGTATGATTATTTCTTATTGTGTTATCTCAGTTTCTCTCAGTAAGCTGACAGGTCGCTCTCCACTCGCTCACATTCTCCCTTTCTCTCTTGCAACCTTTGACTCCCTGCATCCTCGGCTCTGCCCGTATGCTCGCTCTACATGGCAAAATGTCAACCAATTAGGAGTCAGATGGGGCTAATTCAGAGCCCTAACCCGTACCAACAGCATATTAACCGATAATAAGCAAAGACTCGGCTTTGTAACTTATTTCCAGGTATGTAAGGAGGTATTTCAAAAATAGAGAAGCAAGTTACATCTGAACGGAGATAGCTCATTTTTACTGTTGGCTCACTAAGTGTAAACACTGCCAGGGGGTAAATGAGAAAGAGATGGTCACACACGTTTATCTGAATAATAGCGAGCATAAAACAACATTGATTGAGCAATTTATGGTTTTGTTCAGTCAAACTGATTCATTTTTCATTTGACCACAAATTTTACTCAAGATATAATTTAAAGCTCTTGAAAAGGACATGTTTTTGTGCTCAAAATTGGGCACTGTTTGCTTATGAATGAGACACTAATCTAACGCCACATGTCCTTGTGACAATGGGAACTCCTCCGTGTTTAAAAAAGAGAATAAACAAGAAAAAGCTAAAATGATTTTCTGTCAAATTGGAATAATTGTGGTACAAATGTTGTTCATTTATTTTCATTGACTTTTTTTAACCACTTGTTTAGAAGAACATGCACAGAAAAAAAAATAATCTGCATGATATTTAAACTTTAGTAGAAGATAAAGTGCTGACTAACACCTTTTTTCTTTGAATTATAGGGTAAACATCTGTGTGTCTGTGCCCACTCACTTTATGCCAAGTCAGTGCCCCAGTAAGGACCCCAGTGAGAAAAAAAGTCTGGACACACCCCTGATTGTTTTACCCGCCTCTGTCCGCCTGTCCTTGTAGCACCTGTCCTAGAGTTGTCAACTGGAACTACATGTGTGTGTCTGTGAAGTGGAGGGTGCAAATGTGGTTGAATTTGCTTGCGTGCCTGTGTGTGTGTGTGTGTGTGTGTCCAGATAGTGGGAGTATATCTAGATCCACAGCAGCTGCCCCTCAAGCACAATGACAAGCACTCTCATTCAAACACTCTTTGTGTAACGTAGAATAGAATCAAATCTGTTCTATTTTCAGACGCAGCCAAAGCCGATTTGTTTTTTCCCCCTCATCCAAACAATACTTTTCCTAATCACATTAACACACGCAAAGTTGAATAGACACAAAATAAGCACTTTTATCAGCCATCCTGTGTGAATCATCATTTTCTCTTCACATTTAAATGTTGGGTGTACTGAAATGACATTTGTGAGGCAGCTTGTAATCATATTTCCTTTATTAATGGAGCTTTCTTTTGGACGTCCATGTTCTTATCTCGCTGGCATTTCATTATATTTCAGAGTGTTTATTAAAAAGAACTAATCATGGGTCTGAAAGGCCGACATTTTCCAATGATTCAATGATTTCACTAACTGCTTTTCCTGACAGCAAAATTATGTCACACACTAAGTGACATGCTCACCCCTATCTGGACAAAAAGTGACGTACGGATCCCAAAAATTGAGGAAGCAGCTTGGGTTAAGTCTCTTGGTTAAATGTCCTTTTCAGCCTGAGAGAATGTGCTTAACAAAGGAGGCGTAGTTGATACACCCGTTGGCATCTTCTTGTCCAGCCATCAGTCTGTCCACCTCGTCTTCAGTCATCCTCTCTCCCAGTGTTGCGAGGACATGGCGCAGCTCCGCTCCCATGATGGTGCCATTGCCTTCTTTGTCGAAAACCCTCAGCCCCTCCACAAAATCCTCAAAGTTGCCCTGATCTTTCGCACGAGAGATGTGTTGCAGCATTGGCAGGAAGGTCTCAAAATCCACCATTTTGCTGCTCATGTCCTCTGGACGTGGTTTCCCGAGCACTTTGAGCACATCTGCGTTGGTGGGGTTCTGTCCCAAGGCGCGCATCACATCTCCACACTGAGCGTATGTGATTTTCATCTCCCCGGTTGGTGTGCGGTCAAACAGGTTGAACGCCTCCTTGAACTCCTCAATCTGGTCGGCTGAGTACTCAAGAGTGATGCTCTTGGGGTCAAACTCTGGTTCCTTGGGTGGCTCAGGCAGCGGCTCCGGAGCTGGGGCTGGCTTAGCAGCTGGGGCTGCCTCTTTCTTCGGCTCTGGCTTTTTAGGCTCTGGTTTCTTTGGTTCAATCTTCTTTGGTGCCATGTTGTAAAGGGAAAGAGAGGTGAGCTGGGTCCTTGCTGGGAAACAAGTAGGAGTCTGAGGGGATTGGAAATGATTCGGAGCACAGAGGGTCACTCCTCCGGCAACGCTTTTATACAGGCCTTCTCTTGGGAGCAACACAGCAATTTCCAGCAGCACACTATAAAAGGAAGAAACCTGAAATAGATGCCCATAGCAAGTGATGTCAACATTAAGTATTGTTCTCAGCTGCTGTCATCTAGCCGACAGGGCTATTTGCTGTCATTAGCCTGGGTCCAGTTGCATTAAGCTGAAAATGCTCTGTCTCTCTGATGGACAAAGGGATCAGGGAAGAGTCAGTGTATCAGCCCATGAGGTAGACAGACCAAAATAACACTGCTGGGTAACTCCTGAGAGTCAGGGAATCACTGCTCTCTAAAAGCAAGCTCACAAATTGTTAATTACTTTATGTCCACTGTCTCAAGGTGGATGGGCACACTTTGGGACTTGTTATCATGTATTATTTCCATGATACAAGCAAATCACTCTCCTTTGAGAAGGGAGTATGATCAGGCTTAAGAGAAATTCATTCATCTGCCTTTTAAATGTGTGCTGTGGATTTATAGGTTTTAAGAGAGCGAGGATATACCAAACGTATTCATGTATGTATGTGGTAAAACGTGTTTGGATACTATGTGGTTACGTTTCGGGATTTGGGGATTTCTTATAATCCAGATAAATGTTGGATTGCATTTTTGGACCTGCACTGAGCAGCTTAGAATCCTTTTCCATATTAAGGAACCTGGCGAGCTCCAACAGATCACAAAGAGACATCTAATTATTGCTTTATTTGGGGATGATGTACTGGAAAGGTCACAATTAAAGCCCATGAATGTTAGAAAATGCCTTCAGTGCCAATATCAATGGGAAGATGATATGTTGTCTGCTGTAAGCATCTGATAAGGTCAATCAGTGCATTTTCTAATTATACGGTAGCTGTGATTTCCGTCATGAAATACAACAAATGTCTTAAAAATCTTAATTTAAATGCTAAATTTTGTTTTACTGTTGCATTGCTTTCTCAAAATGAACCAGATGCTTGAAGGTTTGATTGGAAACACTTGATACAGTGGCAATGCGTTGATTGCCGACAAGTTTACATTTCAAACTGGGCAAAAATATCAGCTTAACGAGGGATTCTTAGATTTGGGGTAGGCTTCTCCAAGTCAAATTCAACTTACCGACTTTGGATTTAAAGGGCTTTAGTGAAGAGTACGCCATAACCAAATATGCAATAAATAACAGTCAAATAGCTTTCAAATAAAACATGGTCAATAAAATATGAAACCTTGTTTGATTACCAAAATAAGGGGCCTTTCTCATGCAGAGTCCGCTTAGAAGGTCCGGATCAGGAACCAAATGTTTGCATTGTTGCATTTTGCATTTGGTCCAGTTAGCGCTTACATGGGACTTTCGCTAAGCGAACCAAATGGTTAAAAAAGAGGGGAAACTAGAAGTTCATCTGTTTGTTTGATGCGGACCATGATTCGCTTGCACGTTCATTCCACCAGGACCAAAGGAGTAAGGAGACCATGGTCCTTTTAAAACGAACCTAACAGTCCTGGTGTAAATGCGCCCTTAAACTCGCTGGGAAACCCAACACATTTACGGCTTTTAAATCAGCAAAAAGACAACAAGTGGTTTTTGTGTCCACTTAACTGGAGGGCTAGCTGGAGGGCCAAAGATTCACCCGCATCTTGCTAAAATGTTAACTATCAAAAGAGTTGTTTTTTGCCTTTATCCACAGAACACAACCTCTTCTGTTGTTAGGCATTTTACCAAACTTTGAAACCACAAAACTCTCAATGATATTCTGAACTCTTGGCTGAAATTAATCGGTTTTCAAACATAGTTTTAATAGTGCATTTAAAGCACATTTAGGCTATTTCATTCATATTATTGTAGCAAATGGGCAGAAGTAGAGATTTTATTTTTCTCAGTGCATACTATCTCGAGTCAGATGGTCTTACTGTGACACTCACCCATTATTGTCAGTCTTAACTCAGTATATGTAACAGGACAGTTGAGTTTGCACACCTTGCTGCAGCCTTTCAAAGTTTAGTGGTGCAGTAGACGGAGTGAATCTCTCTACGTCACATTAAAAACAGCTATTTGACACCTTGCACACAAGACTATTGAATCTGACTTGGCACAACTACTGTATGTGCATCCCAGTAGAATCAAGAGATGAACAGCACCCTGTGAGATCTCTGGGTGCAAACCCTTTTATTTGAGTGATTTGAAGCGCAATTGCGTATCTGTTACATTTGGGGTTTGGGAGCTTTGGGAGATGCACCCCATCTCAGGCAGCATTTGATGCTTTGATTAAGATACGCTTTGATGAAATACCAGTCTCTGTTAAATTAGAAAAGAACAAGTGGGCGACAATTGATTTAGTCTTTCTTTAGTGCTGGTGCTATGATAAAACAAATATTTTTCTTCATCAGTCACTAGAAAACATTCAACTTTTCTCGGCATCAGTCACTTCTGAGGCATATTTGACGACCTGGAAGTGACAAAGCCCTCCTACTGTTTGTATATCTGTTGCACGTCCATCCCTATGAACAAAATATTCTATCTGGCTCAGTTACAAGGTGAAAGCAGGAATGGGAATTTTATACTGTATCTACTTAAGAATATACAACATGTCACTTCGTTTTATGCAGATGACTGCTACGTAATACCTTTCAGTGAATGATAAATGAACCAACTAAACATTCATTTCATTTAAGGATGAGGGTTTGTGTGGGATGTGCAAGTCTCTTGCACAGTTTTAATCATAGCAACTTTAATTTCATGCATGCATCATAGTTTATCAACTCAGTTTTAGACAGCTAAATTCTGTCATGCCGTAATCACATTTTACCCCTCTCTATCTTCACGCCAGCCCCCCTTGATCTGTCAATCTAGAGCTTGAAGTCCTTGGACAGTGTGGTTTAAGTGTGCTAATGCGTGTGTGCGTGTGTGTGGTTGCCCTTCGTCTAAGATCATTATCTCCCCTCTCTTTGCTTTTGAGGTCACATGGCGAGTAAAACTGACAGCTAATTTGTCGTCTTTTGGTGTGTACTTGCGTGTGCGTTCGTGAACAGTTGTGTCGGACAGAAACAAAAGAGTAGGACCTGCGAGAGAATCCGGTTGTTATAACTATACTGAAGCCCTATGTCTGTAATCCTTCAAGTATTTCCCTCATGGTTAAAAAGCAAAGATGAAATGGTTCAATCTTTTACCCCATTTGCTATCCTCTTCACTTTGACGGATTACTTCTTGTCCATGATTAGTGTCATCTGGCTGAGCAAGAGTTTCAAATTTAACCATATCTATCAATCATACCCTCTTTCAGGATGGTATTAGTAGTTGTTCACCCTCAAAACTCAAATCACACCTTTGAATTTGTGCATGGATTGGACCAGTGTGAGCACCGTGGCATTAAACAACAAAGCCACAGAGAAACAGACCACTGAAAAACAACCAAACTCTCTGGAGCTTTGTCAAGCTGTCACCGAGCTGTGTACAGACGTGGCGCTGGCTGAATGGGTTGTGGAGAAACAAGCTTGTTATTGTTCCTGTTTCCCATTAAACTTCCCACAAACAAGGCTTCAATCAGGACACGGCTATTGCAATGATTGAACCGGCGGATTACTGTTTTCAGCGTCTGACCTCAAACAAGTAGTAATTTCATTGGTTCCTAAGAACTTGTGAGAACTGTCTGTACATGATGAACTAGAGCTGTTTGGACTCAAAACTTCACAAACTTATATTAAGACAAAGAGTCGATAAAAGTAACACACCTTTACCACAAACTAACCTACTATGATCAGCATTTTAAATTTTAGACATTCAGATAAAACTTCACAGTCTGGACATTCATATCTTTAACTTGACTGTCATTGACCAAATAAGAAAATTCATAAATTAATAATAATAATAATAATAATAATAATAATAATAATAATAATAATAATAATAATAATAAATTGATTAATTATTTCATAATTAAATAAAATAATAAATAAAATACAGTACTATATTATATTATATTATATTACATTATATTATTTTATTTTATTTTATTTCATTTTATTTTATTATATAACGGCAAACTGAATAATGTCCAACAAAAAGGTCAAACTTTAAATCAAAAAACACCTCAAGAAAAATACCCACTACACTGGGAAGTTTGACAATACTAGCTGGCACAGTATTGAAGGTACAAAGACATCAAATACACTGGAGGTAATCCACTTCAGGTGTGACCAGTGCTTCAAAGTGGGCTTTAATTTGGCTTTTTTGAGGGCATACTTGGACTTTTACTGGCTGCCAGTACTCTTTCCTGTCACCATAAAAACGACTGGATTTTTTAAGGGTGATTCACAAGAGCACCTAAGATACACTAAATACATTACCCACCCAAGGTGTGACAAACAAGAGAGGTAAAATAGATGAGAACAATCAATCTGAGGTACACACACAAGGCAGAAAGCAGAACAAGACATCACACACTAGGGGCAAAACAACCTTTGAAACAAAAAGGTAGAACAAACTGAACGACGAAAGCAGGAAAACACAAAATGAACAAGAATAACTCATGACAAATTGTACAAATATCTTTTAAAAGTGTATTGAGGATCTATATCAAACACTGCTGTGACTCCGGGGTATGTCAAAGAGTTGACAACAAAATGACGCAGGAATCTGATGTTGCTCAGCAACCAGTAACCTGGATAATGGTGTATAAAGGGATATGTTTTAAACCAGTTATGACTGTGTTCAGAATTGTTGTGCTCTGTCATCCAGGTACCACTCTGAGAACAATGTCGTCCTTCTATCACAAAATATCCTGTTCTGTGTTAAACATTCATACCCTGAAGCTATTGTGTGAATGAATGAGTAACCATTGTACTGCCAGCCAAACCAGTGTAACCAATAGCAGTTTTCTCCTTTGTTGTATTTTTGGTTTGTTGTTA